ATAAAGCTTAATACAATAAAATTAATAATTCTAATATAGTATATTTATTTTTTTCCAAGTCATAATTGAAATTTTCATATTAATTCTTTAAATCATATTAAAATTCATAAACTCAAACTAATAACTATTGATGTGGCATTTTATAATTAAAATAATAATACTTTCTATATTTTAAAAATAAAAAAATTAAATGAGAGGAATTTTATAAATTTTAATATGTTTGAAGGATAAATATTTGATTGTTTAATATATTAATGAAGAAGTCAATTGAAACATAAAAAAAGTCATACGATTAGTTATGTTAGTTTGATAGATGGAAATGACACTATACCAAAAAGGGTATAGGGGCGGAACGTCTAAGGCGGTCTAGAAAACCGTCTCAAGGTTTTATAATTTTTATCTTACATATGACTTATATGAGGCGAGTGACAAACCGCCCCACTTCTTAGTAGCTACCCCATGTTTTTTTCTTTTCTTTTTTATTTTTAGTTACGAAAAGAGACCAAAGCAATTCATTATAATGCCTCGTCGCTTCGACTTCTAGGTTTTTTCTTCTCATTTTTTTCAATCACTCGTCGCTCACGAGTGAATACACTATCTTATTTTATCTCTATTCTTCTCCTTCTTCTTCATATTTAGGGTTTCAAATTTCCATTTTATCGTTTTAATCTCTCTTTTTAGAAGTTATTATTAAGCTCCTATTTGATTTGTTCTTCGGATCCCTATCAAGGGTCCTAGAGTTATGGCCATCTATTTCATTGCTTTTGGTGCGTTTTCTTAAGGCATGTACCAAGTTGGAAAGGGCAACAAGTTCGCAGGTAAAAATAGTTCTTTTATCCCAATTTTATTTTTATTTTTTTGTGGTTTTGATTGGTTTTGGCATCCGGGTTTTGTTTTGTTTTTTTTTTTTAATTAGAGTTATAAATTTGAAGGATTTGGATTTTTGTTATGTTAATTGGATTGGATTATTAGATTGAAGATTGTTAAGAATACTTGAATTGGAAACTCTGTCGTTCTAAAATTTAGTAGAGACATTTTAGTTGGGCACGAAGTTAAATTTTTTGAGAATCCTAATACCCGACCTTATCATCCAATGCCCGGAATATTCTATTTTGGTAAAATATTATAGTAATAAGGATCCCATGCTATCTTTTCGACTATTTACTAAGTATCAAATATTGGTATCAACAAATTGAATTATAATTTTAATGATATAATTGGATTGATTTCGGGAGTTCAAGCTCTGGTTATATAGCACCACTACCCCAGTTCTAAATTAGGTTTCGAATGAACTTCGGGTAATTTTGTGTACTCATTATCGATATCCAATAGATGGATGTGTTAATATCTAGTTTAGTTAGGCTTGTAATGAAAGAAGCCAATCCACTAATGGTCGTATGGGTGGTATGTCTCTATCTAATTTCATCACTTTGTAATGAAATTGAAGCTATTTTGCATTTATGATTGAGTCGACTTATGAGTCATAAATAACCTATGCAAGTTAGCTCTCTTATAGCTTAATCTTCTCAAATAGATATCGCTTCTCTGCCTCGACTTCACTTAAACGAAGCTTTAGGTAACTGCTAGCATATTCTTCATTTGATTTGTTTGTCTTAGCAAGTGTAATTCGTGCAACCTTTCGGCCTCTAGTTTTTTCTCATTGGCCTTGAGCTAGAACATGTCGGCCTCTGCTCGTTTAAGCCTCATAATTCTCTCTAGCTCTTTAATCCGTAGGTTCTTTTTTTGCCAATCTAGCTTTATTTCGGCCACTTTTTGGCCTTCTCCTCCTGCTCATAGTCACATGCCTCAACGACCATGCGTGCTTTTTTAAACATTCTCATATTCTTAAGGCCTCCTGTACCACTTCGACGAATTCGGTTGCATGCCTCATGCGGAGCTATCAACCTCCCACCTTCCCTATTTTCCAAGCTCATGTGAGATTCCACCTTAAGCTCTTCAAAGAAGGGTATATAAGAAAAGAAAAAGAAGTTTAATTTCATGTAGCTGATTTCTACTTAATTTCATATAACTCAAAAACATCCTTGGAACTTCAATGTTTTGGAAATGCAAAAACCTATCGTAACTCATTTGTAAAGTTGCCATCATTTGTAATAAATTCCTAGTGTAATTTATATCCGGAATTTTTAACTTTCTTCATGTGTGCCATTGTGGACTACGAGTATGTTGATATTATTCTTTGGCTTTTTGTTTTTTTCTCTACTACGTCCGTATAGATGCGAGCATGCAAAATGTAGCATTTTCTTAAACATATGGCATGATGTTGTTATTGTTGCTCATTGTCTTCATAACTTCGGTTTGTGATTTATTTTATTGCTTTATTTTAGAACAAAATTGTACTTTTAACATATTGATTTATAACTACTTGTCTCGTGCAACTCAACGAATTGATGCTTTTCGGAATGGTTGAGGAGCTCACAATAAAGACATGCAAGTTGCTTCTGTCCTCGGTGTAGAGCGAGTAGTACGGCTTGTGGTAGAAACCACTTTTTGCATAGTATAGAGGAGGTAATACCTTAAGTTTCTTTCAATTTTATGGTGAACATATGACATATGTATCTTAAGACATTTTATGTGCCTGTGTGGATTGAGACACATATTTTCCTTTTGTTTGTAGTTGGTAGATTAATTTATTTGTTTTAGGCTACCTTAGCATCATATTTTTTGTTATTTGAAATATAGAAAGCTTTAGTTACTGATTTTCTCTCACATTTATTAAAATATCTACTATATGTACTTTAATGTTAGTTTCTTTGCTTTATGTTATTGCTAATATCGCAATATTACTTCATTTATAATGTTTCCATTCTACTTATGTCCGTAATTCGGATGATAGTTATGGTTACTCGATATAATTTCATCAATCGAAAGAATGCCAATAACATAGATAATATAAAGATTGAATCTAAGTTGAATCATTACTCCTTATAGGATGCGTTTTCTTATGCTTGTAAGTTCAAATATCTAGTTCACTTTCATTCTCTTTTTAATTTTGCACATTCCTATATGATCATTTAAAGTTTATTGATTGAGTCTTGCAATTTTTAGCCAATCTGTTAAAGGCTTATCCTTTCATGTATTTGTGTGCACTAGATCTCCATTTCATGCCTTTTTTTCCCGATTCAATTTTGAGTGTTTAAAATTTTAAGAGCATGCCTTTTCTATTTCATAGCATGCTCACGGTTTATGGATATTACTTTTTAACCGTAATAGTCACTTAAGGGGCTGATTTTTCTTTAGGATGTATTGCAAGATGATTCTTCACTTAAGCGATCAGATGAAGAAATAACTCTTTTGGATTCCTATGCATCAATAAAATCAAATCTTGTAAGTAATTTCATCTTCCGAAAAGCCAAGATACTTGATACAAGTATATGAAATGTTGATGCCCGGGATGGAATTATGAGATAAGATATATGTGATGTGTCAAATTTAGGAATGACAAATGTGACGTTTAGTTACATCCTTGCTTCTAGATAATCTATCCCGAAAATGATAAAGAAACTTTGCCAAAGATTACCGATTAGTTGAGATATTGGATGCTTCATAATATTTGTTCGAGTGTCTAGAGTGCACCTTAGGAAGAGAGTCAACTTACAAAAATTCTCTTGTCAAAGAAAATTGACTCAATCATCCTTCCAAGTTGAGTTGTGCCGGTTTCGGGAGCTTGTATATTTATTACCCAAAAACTCTCGTGTTGAGAGATATCCTAATCAAAATTGATGCCTACTTTGTTGAATCAAACTCATGTATCATATATTGCTAATTAAATATTTAACATGTTTTCTAATCTTAAAATATTTTTTTATGAGCTTTTATATGTATTTATATTATTGTTTCTTTTTTCACTTTGAAATTTTGCTTTTGATAGGTTCGCAATGATGATAATGGTCAAAATGCTTCTTCTCCCAATCGTTTGTCACAATCAAGTCATTTGTCAAAATGAAGCATTTTATATAAAAACATGAGAGTTGTTTTTTTTCAACATTAGCCATTTATTTTAAAACATATTAGGAACTTTTTTTTTTTTTTTTATGTATTTTGAACAAGGGTTTAATCCTTTAGTTTTTTTTTTCTTCTTATGGATGTTTGAAGAGTTTTTATGTATTTAGAATTTGATAATTACAAATTTAAGAATATTTTGTAAACTATATAATTTTTCTTTTATTTGCATTTAACATGATGTAACTTTTTTTTTTTAATTTACTTTTTTGACAAAAAATGAAGTAATTAATTGAATTTGAAGGCCTTTATAAATTCTAAATGAATTTATTTATTTATTTTTTAAATCTATAGTTTGAGGCGAGTTTAAAATGACTATATTTTTGAACTTCGGCACCGTTGTAACCGCCTCTATAAATTCTACGGTTTGAGACTCGTCTAAACCCCTCTATATTTTTAAAATTTGAGGCGGTTATAATTGCCCCAAACATTTCAAAAGAGGAGGAATGTAGAGGCGGTTCAAAACCACCTCAAATTACACCCCAAACATCTCTAAAAGAGGCATTGTAGAGGCGGTTGCAACCGTCGCAAGAAACCATATTAGAATTCCTCGGTGATTGGCAAAACCGCCTCTACATCCTAGAGACGACGACATTGCGAGTCGTTTAGAGGTGATCTTTAAAACCGTCTCTACAGGACAAAAAAACCGCATGCAATGCTTTTTTTGGTGTAGTGTGAGGAACTAATTTTTTTTTATAAAAGTTCAAAAAAATAATTAATTGACACAAATAAAATTTCACAAAAGAAATTGTAAATCCCCTCAAATCTCAGAGGGACAAATCAAAATTTACCAAAAGATTTATGTTTGGACACAATTGAGCTTCACCAGCTTGCTTGCCCGTGTCATACAAATGGAAAAGGATGGACGTATATACAGATATGTCATACTTAGCTTAATCAATACCATCAAGTCCAGACCAAAAGATAGAGTGGTCCATATATACGAACCACCTGCTATTAATTGGCCTATTGAAAAACCAATGGGGTGGTACGTTGCTTTGAGATACTCTTTTATTTTCAAAAGGAACACAGGTGAAGCAGGGTAACCTAAAAGTACCCTAGGCGAGTAAGCTATATCTGTTGGCGTGCATCGATCAATTGAACATTCGTATAATCAAACACTGTTCAGTGCTCAACTTGGAAAATTAAAGCTAGTTTCAATTCATGTAGCACTGTAAAATCTAGTTTGGATAATAAGAACTAAACGTAGAATAAATTATAGTGAGAAAAAGAAAAGAAACGAATGCTGATGAGCTTTTTGTTATTTCAGATTTGTTGAAAAGGACTGTAAATAAGCAACTAGAGCTTCCAAAGAATAAAACAATACTTTTTGTGGGGTTGAGACTATATCCCAACTTAGATCACAAAACCCTAATAATTAGATATTGATAGTAACACTTCCATGATCCATGGTAAGCCAGGTACAATGACGCCTGAGAGGCCTTGAGCTTCAATGGGGACCATAAATTTGAAGCATGCCCTTCTCACAAAATAATGAGCAGGAGCAGCACATTTGTAGGGCAAGGCTTGTCTTGATTGCCTTCGAGGTATAAATTTCATCTTCCATAGCTATAATTAGTGAGGGAAGATATGCGAAGGACACTGCTGTTTGATTGTCATCTCTTATGCTAAATCCTTTTAGCAATCTTGTAAATATTTTTCGCATATATAAATCATTGAACTTGATACTAGTAGTTCTAGGGCAATAGACCTAGCCTCCCCCAGTGAGGCAAAACTAAGGCAACGTCCCTCTCATTCCTCTCTTTCTCTCTCTATTGATCTAACCAAATGACACAACCACGTCTGCCTTAGCCTCTCCCCCATACACCCTCCCCTTTTTAAAGTCACGAGATCACACTGTCCCTTGTTGTTCTTTCAATTAGAGAGAGAGAGAGAGAGAGAGAGAGAGAGAGAGAGAGAGAGAGAGAGAGTCCAGGGGTTTGGCAGAGAAACTGATAGAGAACTTTCAAAGCTCCTTTTCTCTACCTTCACTCAACTAGCCTCTATATTGCAGTCTCAAACTGAAGTCATAATTTTCTAAAGCTTTAGTTATCTTCCCATCTGAAAGAGTGTTTACCTCATTTTTTTTTCTGTCTTTCTCTGTCGGTACCATGTAGGTCACCCCCACAAACCCCTTCCACTCACACCTCTTTCTTTTATCTTCTCCTTTACTATCTCAGACTTCTCTTACTCTTCAGCACTCCTTTTTAACTCTTTCTTTTGTGTCTTTTTCCTTTTCTTTTTTAATTTATTTTCCAGGAGACCCGAGAACAACCCATTAGACCTCAACAACTTGCCTGAGGATTACTCTAGAGATGGTAAACAAGTCCTTGATGAAGGCTCCTCCTCTGGTATGCACATCTATATATTTTTTTTTCAACTGCAATTCGAATTTAATACATAACCTTTCTCTCTCCCTCTCCTTCTCCTTTTTTATTTTAGCTAAAAGACCAAACAGAAGAAAAAATAAGGGCAACGGAAGAACTATGATTTCTCCAAGATTTTGAGGAAAGAAAATGAATGAGGGGAAAAATTCTTTCTTTCCTCCCTTTCCCCATTTCTTTTTTCATTTTCTTACCATTGTTGGCATCCTGAATTCTCAAATGAAAAATTAAAGAAGAAGAGATGGAACAAGAGCTAAAAAAGGAGGGTTTTGAGAAGAGAGATGGGTAACTAGGGTTCGGCTTTTGGAGCTAAGAATGGTCTCATCTAAGTTTCTCTATTTGGCTGCTTTTTTTGCAGGCTACAGGAAAAAGAAAAGCGGCGCTAAGGATGGGAAAGAAGAGTGTGGTAAGGTCTATGAGTGTAGGTTTTGTTCCCTCAAGTTCTGCAAATCTCAAGCTCTCGGAGGGCACATGAACCGACACAGACAAGGCAAAGTCATGTCCTCTCTTTCTTCACCTTCTATCAACATGTGTTAATCAAAGACGTCAAAACATAGTACCTTGTTTTATATTTTTTAATTTGATGGGGCAGTATGATTTGCCATGAAAATTAACTAGTATAGGGTGGTCATGTCAATCTTGAGGAAAACCAAGTTGATGTGCTGTTGAAATTCTTTTGTGTTTTTAGTTGTTGTTTGATACCTTGATTGATTTGATTTGTGTCGCTGGTTGGTCAGAGAGGGAGACAGAAACACTGAACCGGGCTCGCCAACTGGTCTTCAGTAGTGATAGCCTAACCACCCCTGGGGGTCACCTAGGGTACGTATCTATGTACATCCATCATCTTTATACACTCTCTTGCTCTTGTCTTATCTCTTCCTTTACTCCACACTTCTTTTTATGGGGTTTCTATTACTCCATCCTCTTACTTCTTTTCTTCAGATCTTTCAAGTGGAAAGGGAAGAAGACAATCCCTAAAAGTGAAAAATAAAATGACCCCAGATACTGTTTTTGAACTAGAAAGGTTTCTCATTTCATAATCTTCTACTTTTAGAAGGTTCCTACTAGCTACTTTGTTTTATCTCATGAGTTCAATGATTCAAAGATCCTCTTCCTGTTTTCTTCCGTCAAAAAAAAAAAAAAAAAAAAAAAACCGATTTCTTCATCTTGTTGTTTTGCACCAAAGGTCATGAACATTATTCGACTCCAATAATTAATATTTCTGTTTGATTTCAACACTTACAAAGATCATGATTATCATATACTGTGTTCTTGTATTGGAACTACTAAGGACACAGATTCTTCTAATTAATATTCTTAGCAGCTGCCATCCCATGGGAACAGGGAACTACCTTCCAGCAGGCAACATTGGAGATCCATTCAGATCAGTGTACCCACCAAGACTGTTGCCTGGCTCTTCATCAACTCTGTTGCCACCACCCGCACCAGCACCAGCACCACAACCTCCTCATCAATCATATCTATACACGTCTCCTTCACGCTTGCCAGCTTCGTATAACTCACAGTATCCTCAACAGCCCATCAACGATTACTACATTGGACATGTACTCAACGGCACTTCACAAACGTACCCTCCCCTCCATAACATGAACTACAGCATGGGTGGCTCAGAATCCAATTACACTTGCATTGGTGCACCGGTAGGTCATGGTGGGTTCGGACCAGCTGGTTCAAGCCGTAGCACGGAAAGAAGTGGTAGAGATGGATCACTGACCAACCAGGACGAGGGTTTGAATTGGGGAAGGAGCTTGGCAGCAGGAGGACAGCAGCGTTTGGATCATCCTTCATCGATCAATCGGTTTCAAGATGGGTTTTAAAGATTGTCTTACTTTTTTCTTTCTTTCTCTCTTTCTATTTTTTCTACTTTGTGGGATTAATGGTAGTATTGGATGAAGCATATTGATCTGCCTTGACACGGTACCCATAGACAGAGTTAAAGAGAGGGACTTAACAAACTGACAAATGGGGTCATGCAAAGGAGGAGAGAAGTTTTTGGTTTATGTACAGGGATTGGGGCAGCTTTTTGAGCTCATGGACACTCTCAGCTAGTTTGGCTTGGAGCTATGGGGATTGGAGGGGGGTATTATATGTTGGTGTTGGCGTAATTGTACTGACCAACTGAGACTAGCCTATAGCTTGTGAGGTGAGACAAGGAGTTAGATTTGAACTGAAAGTTCCTAACCCCCTTTTGCATTCGGACTTGATTTTGTATGGCAATGAATAGAATATTGCTTTCCTTTATAGTAATAATGTTTTTTTTTGTTTTTTTATTTCTTCGCTGTTTCTTGTTTTATTTGTGGCCCTCCAAAGTATCTTTGACCACAAAGGGGTGAGAGGGTGAGGGTTTAACCCCCCTTCTTTCCGACACACAACACCACATAGACAGACAGAGATAAGAACACCACAAGAAACCAAACTTGGTATCTTCTGGTTTCTTGAAACATTTATGGTTAATTAGACCAAGCTCGCACAGTACGGGCAATGACATGGAGATAAACATTTATGGCTCAGAGTTCCATTCAGCTGCTCTTGATTGCTGAAACAATAAAATATCTGTTTAGGAAAGTCTGTAAGAGCAGCAGATCTCTTTCTTCTTATAGCCTTGTTTTCCTGATTATGTTCTTATAATTATTATTACTGCGGTATTAATTTATTAGTACGGATTCCATTAACTGCCGTTTTAGTGTCTACAATAATGAATCCTTCCCCTCTCTTTCAGTTCTCTCCTTCATGGATCTTTGAAATAATAAACAAAATAAAATATATTTAACTACTTAAAATCCATTTAAATTATAAATAATTAACATAAATTGTTTAAATGTTATGGTTGAGTGAAAAAAATAATAATAGTAACATCTAATTCAGAAGTACTGAATCAAATATCAGAAAAGTTAACTGGAGATAACATGGGGGTAACTTATGGGTTTAGCCTTGGACAAATTTGTATAAAAACTGATTGTTTTTTAGAGTACTTATCAATGTTTCTCCAAAAAAAAAAAAAAAAAAAAAAAAGGATGAGGCTGGTGCTCAATTTTTACAGATGGATTAATTACAGATCAGCATAGCATATATCGAGCTTTGGCAACTTGGGAATTAGAATTTTTTTATTTTTACTTTTGAATCCTCCAGAGTATCCCAAATCCAAAGACGCTGATCATGATTGGACTATTTTAGTCTCTACTTTATTGCTTATTCGTTTTCTTCATTCAATTCAATTGAAGATAGGATTTGTTTCTTCCAATTTTGGGCTACTCATGTGCTCGCAGTTGCAAATCGAGTTAAAGATGCTTTAGGGGTTAAAAGCCATTGTTTATTGTTACCGGCTTAACATATATATATATACTGAGACAAATTAATGCAGTGTGCTGATCTGGGAGTCTCAAAAGAAGATCACAGTTTCGGCCAAAGGTTTCACATGATCATTATTCAATAAAATGAGGAGTTTCAGGTGCTTAAAAATGCAAAATTTCTGAGAGATCGAAGAATGATCGAGTAGGATTGGTGCTTTATTTTACCCGTATCAGCAATCTAATTGGCAGACCATCAAATACTAGAAGCTATACAAGAAACAATTTTTTACGAGAATCAAATGAAAGCAAACCCAACTCAAACCCTAACCCTAGCCCTAAGATATATATGTATGTACAGACTAGCAAAGCAATAAGTAATAGGTTATGCTGGACTGCAACTGGCCATCACTCTAGCACAAAGTGATATTAGCATGTCAACTTGGGGTGCTGCATCGTGGCCCCATGCTGCTACAGCTTAACCTAAAATGTTTGGCTAGGTAGACCCTGCTTAAAATATATAAATATAGAAAGCAATCACGGACACTAATTTATTTTCCAGATTTGGGATGACTATAAGTACATAAATAAACAAATAAAAAGAGAAAGGAACGACGGCATAGTTGAAGTCTGTTTTCTTTTTTGTTTGTTTTTATTTCTATGAACATAATAGGCCTCATCGTAGTCTTTGGAAGATGTGCTCGTAATTTCAAGTTGTGTTGGTAGTATATAAAAAATATACTATAGCTTCTAGGCGCTAGCCATGTACCCTCGAAAGCAGCTGCTTCATTACTCCTATTCCGATAATGAAGCAACAGCCATCTCTTCTCATAATCTATTGTCTTTCGTTCTTATTAATTTTTTTTTCCACTAGCTGTTTGGACTTATAAAGCATAAATCTTGCCAATTAATGACACAGATCCTTGAGCAGTTGTCGCTTCTCCTTTAACCATCTATTGTTGTTTTCTTATATTTTTTCCAATGTTTGGAATTTGTACACTCATATAAATCATATCTTATAGTGATTAACATGTACCATTCGAAAGAATATTAGTAGAAATTCAATGGTTCTTTTAAGTGATTAAGGTATGTTTTTTTTTTTTTTTTTTTTTTTTTTCATAAGCAAGCAGGTAGAATCAAAGGCACATATTTTGTTGAGTTAATAAGAAATTAATTGGCATTAACAAAATAAAAAATCACATGACTCGTTTGTATATCAATTTTTTTTGTTATATTTATTTATAGTAACATATCTTTGAACTAGTTTTTCATGAATTAAAACTAATTTTTTATTTTTTAACGGTAGCATATTAAATATATATGTGTTTAGCATTTGTTTTTAATCAACATATCTTATTTATTTTTTAAATTCACGATTTTTTTTTTTTTTTAACAATGTAGATGCTTGAACTCGAAAGTTCTTGAGAGGACTGAGAACATTAATATCGGTTAACTTAACTCACTATAATAAATAAATAAAACAGAACTATCTGTGGTGTATGTACATCGAAACTTAACAATCTTTGATAATACTTTATTTATGTTCCAATAGTTATTTATTGTAGAAATCTGGACCTAAGCTCAAATATGAAGATTACATATGACATAGACAGGGTAAATTAAGCTACTCCAATAATACAATAGTATTATGATAAACTAATGGATAAACCAGGAGGAGAGGAATCAAAGAACTATCTAGAGGAAACTGATAATCAAGGTTTGCTAGCCAATCCGTACATCCATTACTCTCATTACAAGCATGTTGAATACAGATACACCAACTTCTACCAATAAGAGTCAAAATCTGATGCTTTAAAGGTTCAAATTGGAGACAAGCTTGATCATTTGAGCTAGCCTTTACTAGAAGCTCTGGTAGAATACAATTTTGACCCTCTCTCTTAATTGATTTCTTTGTAAAACACAAGGTTAAAAAAAATTATTTGATATTTTCATAACTTATTTAATTAATTTACCAATTAAATTGATATCTGAAAAATGAAGAGGAGACATAATTTTGGAATGAGTGTATACGAAATTGAAAAAATTATGGTACAGAAAGGGCAAATAATCAGGAAAAAGTTAGTGAGAGGGTTATTGATTGAAAACCCAGTATTGTCATGTGCTAAAATAGTATTTAATCAGAAAGAAGTGTCGTCAACTACTTTATTAAATGAACTGATCAATGAATTAATTATTATTGCGAGTTTCCCTTAATTAGTTGAGCAGTTCCCCATAAGAGCTAGCACATTGTTTCCAGGTACAATGAAGTTTAATCTAATGGCATGGTATCTTAATCTGACCTATCGAAGACGAAGACATGGAGCTAGCACATGGCACTGGGTTTTTATTCAAGAAACCTCTCTTCCACATTTAAAATCATTAACTAAACCACTGTACTGTGCCGCAACAAAGAGAACCATAGAAATATCAACTGTTTAGCTACTGTAGCTCTCTTTCACACCCAGAGGATCTTTGTCAACGTATAGTCCCGTACCTTTCTCGAATATATCTCGGGATCAAAAACACCAGAGAGAGAGAGGGGGCCATTAATAGTGTTGATTTTTAATTATGTGTCACTGTGATATATATAGAGCCAGAACTACACTAAAAAAGTTGCATATAACTGTCAATATACTGAAATATGAGAGATTACATGCAAAGACAAGGCTATATAGGCAGCAAAAGCAGCCGGCTATAAGCAGTAGACTCAGCATATTTTCCATGCAATATCAAGTGTGGGAATGTTTAAAGCTGCTGCATGGCTTTATTTCTTATCAAATTATAACCTTATTTAATTTGTCTTGTTGCTACAGAATCTGATAATAATATACCTTTTAAGCAGCTTTACAGTAAGTTTTCTATCACTAACTCCGATCCTTAGTCGATGTGTCTTAATTACTCAGTGACCTTTATACATTTTGCCAATCTCTATCTCTTCTCTTCTATGTTCTGATACTTGCTAGTGTCCCATTCGCTATTCATTGATGCATGTCTTGAAAGAGGAAAAACAGCGGCCCTAGGTTAGGTCCTTAATTATGGATGCTAGTAGCTAGCTTGGTTTTGTTTTTATAAAAATCCACATCATATTAGGAAAAAAAAAAGTCAGTTAGCAGCTGACAAAATTATAAATTATTACAACAAGAGAAGCACAATAATAGGAGTTAAACTAGCATTATAACCAAGCTATAAGCTGATTGTGTCTATGAAGATTATATTTTGCTAAAAAATCAATTTTCTTTTTCAAGAACATGATAGGAGATTGAATCCAAAAACTTAATCGAAACATCAATATAATTATAAAGACTCTAAATCCACGGAGGTCTACCAAAGACTTTCTTACTTGTTCAAATAATTGTATTAATTGAATCTGATTCAATAATCCAATTAATTGGATGAATATAGATAGAAATGACACTATTTCTAAAACCTTCTTAACAATCAGGACCCCAACCTTATTTGAATCTTTGGTTTTTGTTGGAAATGAAAAGGTGCATATAAAAATCCCTGCATGATTTCTCAAAACTCCTCCA